TCAGGGTTGATGGAGGACAGGAATGGAAAGGACAGGAAGAAGACAAAAAGAAAAGGAAGCAATGTAAGTAAATGAAAAGAAAGGAGAGAAAAGATAAGGAAATCAAAGAAAGGAAAGGAGATAAAGAAGAAAATTAGAAAAAGAAAAGAAAGGGGAGGAAAGGTAAGAAAATCAAAAAAGGAAAGGAAAGGCGAAAAATTAAGAAGTTAAAGAAAAGAAAGCAAAGGACATTAATGAAAAGGAAGGAGAGGAATGAAATGAAGCAAATGGAAAAGAAAAGAAATGAATAGGAAGTCAAAAAAGAAAAGAAAACAAAGGAACTAAATGAAAAACAATGATAGAAAAGGAAACCAAAAGTAGGAAAGGAAAGGAAAGATGAGATCATAAAAGACAAGGCAGAGATTGAAGAAGAGAAAAAGAAAAATAGAAAAGGGCACTGCAGACTTGGAGAAAAAGTGGCAAAAGAAGGGAAAAGAAAGAGAGGAGAGGAATAAGTGGGACATTACGCTGAACAAACAACTATGGGGAAAATGAGAGAAAGAACACTCCAGCGGATGGTAAAGGTCATGGGAGACATGCAATATAAGCGTGTCGTGTCTTTACTCTCCTCCTTCATCTTCTCTTTAATCTCCTCTTCCTTATACCTCAATCCTCTTATAATCGCATGCATGTTGATCCAACTCTAACCACAGAGGCAGAAACACTTTAACTGAAACGCCAACAGCACACAGGCCTATGCTCTGTAAAGCCCAGTGAGCCTAGTGTTAATAAAGGCAACCTAAAAACAGACCCAAAACTCAAAGTTAAATACAAGCATGAAAGAAAACCTTTAGCCTTAGCTCTGAGGATGTTCATATCACATGTCAAGCTGCTCAGTCACATAAATCACCCTGATTAGTTTGAGTACTTAAATAATGCCAAAGCAAAGTAAATTCTCTCAGAGGGGAAGCCAGCATGTCTCTCTGGCTTTGTGTTCGGGGGCAATAAAGACAAAACAGTCAGAGTTATCTTTCGCTGCATCCCTGCCGCTTGGAGTGTGTCACAGCATACAACATCAAAGCAATCAGGTCATAAAAACACAGAAAAATCAGTGCATATAGGGATACGGCTTTGAGATGGTGTTTTTAAACTGAAATAGTGAGAGCGGCCATGAGTAGACAGCAAATAAGCAGGGATGACATTAATACATACACCCTTATGTTTATATTAACCTTAACTTCAACTAAATTTGGAGCCTTGCAGAGCTTTTCATCTCCAGAAAACAAAAACTGATGAGAAAGACCAACTTAAATGTCAAGGCGACATTTCAGCTCAGTTTGGAGGGTGACGGTGGGCTTCTGAGTGCAAGAGAGAGAGACACAAAAAAGAGAGAGAGTGGGATCTGAACTCCTCATGTGGAGGCTTCATCCTGTTCAACCAATGCTCATCTCTGCAAGGTTGTTGTTGTTGAAGTTGGGACTTCAGGAGTCACCAGAATGCAAAACAGACACACAAAAAACAAGTCTGCGTGCTCCTGCGTGATGACAAGCCTATAGGAAAACAAGGAGAACTGCCAGCAGCCTGTACCCTATTTCCCCCTTTTTTTTCTAAGGTATTCACGTGTGTGCGTGCGCGAGGCACGCGGCAGAAGGCTGTGTCACCGTCTCTATAATGTGACGGTGCTGAGGGCCGGCGCTGATGCGGGCCAAAGTCATCAATCACGCAGCTCGAAGCCGCAACATTAAATCACTACAGACCCCCACCCCGAGCGATGGCAGCGGAGCGTGAATCCGTCCCGGTAAAAAGCCGCGGTCTCTCGGTCATCCATCTATCAACAAGTACACGAAAAACACTGCCAACGCCAAAACATGCTCTGGCGCACAGGAGCCACGCGCTCAGTAGTGGCATGTAGCTTACCTGAGTGGACTTAGTGGGACGACCTGAGCAATAACACCTGTAACTCTGGAGAAACGAACCCGGGGCTGGTTTGATGGGGAAGGCTAATTAAAGCTGTGAGCGCCGTGCAGCACGAGGGAGAGCAGCTGCGCAGAGAGAATTACTGACCCGAGACCACCTGATAAAATAATAAAACTGACACGAGACAGAGCAACAGAGCGAGCTCCGATCCCGCCCCTGCTGCTGCTCCTGATGATGATGATGATAATGATGATGATGAAAGTAGTGATGATAATCATGGAGATTATGGTGATGGGGAAGAAAAAGATAGCCATCCTCTGAGACTGTCACGAGAGCGCATCTGGTGGTGGGGGGTGGGGGGTGATCACATCTGGCTGACACTCTGACTGCCTCCTCTCAAAATATCAAAAGAGAGACGCACGCACACCTACTCTGTCCGGTGCGGTCACATGCGTTTCGACCCGGTCTTTGTAGCGGTGATGCAGCCCGTGCGGTGCGCAGTGTGCAGGTTTTTACTCACCCCGGCTGCTGTCGCCGCCAGTCTCCGTCCGATCGCGTGTCCTACCGTGTGACTTAACGGGAGAGAGGGCGAGCCGTGGGCGCATCCAGCCCCCATCAGCGCCATCCAGCGCTGCGGTCGCGGTACACCGCTCTCGCGATACCATGCCATCTCCTCCAGCTCTCTCCGCTCCAATATGTGACGTAGCGCTTTTATCACGCTGTTTGCTCAGCCCGATGCCGCCGCCTTCTGGGCACGAGGCGCGTGGAGCGTGAGGATGGTGATGATGTCATCCCACGGCTCACCTTCTGCCCTTACCTGTTTTTGATCTCCCTGTTTTTCTCTCGTATCTGACCCGCTGGCAGCAACACGCAGAGGACATCTGTTTAGTTTTTGTAGCTGGAGACGTGCCAGCACCAGTTTAGAGTCACTAACAGGGACTGCTGGTGGAGCAGGTGAGAGGTCACGTGGACACCGTTTAGTTTGACACTGGGAGGTGCGCGTGAGAAAATAAAACGGTTTGAAGTCTTTCAAGAACATGTATGATTAGAGATGTGTTTTACTCGTGTTTGGCATCTTTATCTTGAGGGTCAATCGAATTTGCCCGCCAATAGCTATCCATCCTCTGCGCATATCCAGACCATCTCAGTCCTGCCTCTCTGACTTTGTATCCTAACCGCTCAACCCTGACCTGTCGGTGTGATGTACTAACTAATTTCTAATCCTGACCACTGAGGTCACTCCAAATGAAAATATTAAGTAGCTGTAGTGTGTTTTAATACTATTGTAAAAGGTATTGGAATATTAGGCTACATGTCAGAGAAAGGTGGAGTTAAATATTTCTAGGGATTTGCCTTTTGTTGAGTTAGATATAACTCCCATGCTCCTTTTCCCAGTAGCCATATGTTGTTTTTCCAATTTTACACATTTTCTACTGATGAAATCATTCCTGTTATAATTCTTATAAGTGTTGCACAGTTACACAGTTAAGTATCCTGAACCTTGCTGCACAACATGGCATCATTTATAACCTAATCAAATTTACAACGCCTGTCCCTAGATGTGCTTTTAATATACCTAAAATAATATGATCCTAATCTTGTGTACAGTGATTTCAGTTTGCACATTTTGCAGGCTGGGTGTTTCTTTTAAGCTACATGCATCAAAGCTTCTCATTACTGAAATTACTGAATTATGCTACTTTACATTTTTACTGTTGTAGCATGCCCATAGCTATTGGTCAATTATGCAAAATCATCCATAACCACTTAAACAGTTATGGGTTGCAGGCTGATGGAGCCTACGCCAGCTGCCCTGGGACAGAAGGGGTACACATTCAACAGGTCACCATTCTATGCAGGGCCAACAGAGAAAGACAACCATTAATGGTCAAATCAAATTTTCATCTACAGGAAGTTTAGAATCAACAATTAACTTAACATGTTTCTGGACTGTGGGAGGAAGCCGGAGCACCGAGACAGAACCCATGCAGGCACGGAAATAACATGCCAACTCTGTACAGAAAGGCCTCCCTGTATAAAATGATCCAAAAGCTAAAAGTATTATTCACTGCCTGATTGGTCTATCCAAGGACAATGTCCTTGTCATAAAGTCTTTACAATGTTTACTTAATTACTGGAATGGCTGTCATTACATTCCTTCTATACTCCACTTACCCCTTCTCAAAAATGAACTGCACAGTGGTTTACTTACATACTTTATTCAGGAACATTTTTTGCCAATTAATGTAATACATAATTTAAAATTGGTATTTTTTGTTTTGAGAAGACACTTTGTGTTAACTGTAAATATACTCACCTCACTTTTTGATGGATCATTGTGGATAAAGAATAGTCTCAAATAGTTTTAACAGGGGATCTTGTTATTTATAACTTGTTTGTTTTGAGCATGAATATTCTCTCTCATGTAGTAGTTTTCTATACCACAAACTTTAATCACTATTAGATGGGTTAGTTTGAAAAAAATGTTTATATATGTCATAGTCTGTGGGAGTGTCTGGGGTTTTTCCACCCGTGGCCGTTGGTTTCCTGTCCATCCCTTTGGGGTGGAGCTTCCTGTATCTCACCTGGGCCTCTTCTGCAAGCAATCAGCGGGAGAGCTACTTAAACCTGTGCAACCTGCCTTTAGTTCGTTATGCTCTCCATGGAGGTAACGAGGCAGCTCCCCTATGTTTAGAGGAAATTGTCTCCACGTTTTGGACGACCCCCCCCAGAGCCTACAATAACTCCCTCTCCGTCTATTAGGATGAGGCGAAAGGATCCCTTTTGCCTCTCTGTCTCTTGACATAACCTCCTCTGTGATCCAGTTTCCTAGGGCCGCCCTTCTCATTTCCAATTGCCACTTCCCCGTAGCCATTTCTAATCTGTCTCACAATCTCAGCTATCAAGTAAACACTCTTGTAAATAGTTTCCTCTGCTTCTTGGTGTCTGCATTTGGGTCCACTTCTTAGGCGAACTTTCAGTTCATGACAGTATCATGTTAGGTCATTAAGAGTTAGTGTAAAATCTTTCAACCTTGAGTTGTTTTCTTCCTTTTCTATTAATTTGTTACTTTCACATATGGAATGAGAAGCCAGCAGACATTCTCTAAAGGGGAAGTTTATTGCATAAATTGTTCTAAGAGTGCAGAGTGTTTGTCTGTTTCAGGTCTCACAGTATCTCATAATATGCAAAGTCACAGACATTCATAGGTGAAGATGTAAAGGCTAAAGGCTAAGACAGCACACAGTAGAGCAGGGGAGATAATTTGTCCTGTTCCATCACATCAATTTTAATAATTTACGTTTGTTTAGTTTTTTTTACAATTAAAGTACATGTTGGGAGTTCTCACTGGACTTATGAGTTATTAGGTGCTGCACATTTAAAAGCTCATCACAGGTCATCTGTCTCTCCGTCAAAGGGGATCTCGAGATCTGTGTGGATGTGTGAATTGTCTTCACTGCAGACCCAGCCGATGGGCGTGCGGTTGAACGAGGGGCGCGAGCGAATGTCAGGCTGCAGTGTGGGCAGAGGTTCAGGCTCCTCGGTGGCAACATTGAGCTCTGGAAGCTCAAAGGTCAGCAACTTGGATGCCTTGTCATAACCGCCGTATGGCAGTGCCATCCTAAGGAGAAAAAGGATGACAAGTATTTTTGGTGTTAAGCAGTACAGTAAAGTAACTTCCAAATTAATAACTTTCAAACACAAAATGCAAAAAAACCCCCCCAAAAAACCAAAAAACATTTTCTATTAAGGTTGACATACTCATTCCACACAACCCCTACGCATCAGACAGGCTCCTACTGTCAATCTTTTTAAATCTTATCTTAAAACGCATTTTTATTTACTGGCTTTTAATACAGCATGAGAGTTATTTGTTATTTGTTAATTCATATTTGGTGTTTGCTTTTAATACTGTAAGTTGTTTTATTATGTATGTTGTATTCTTGTACAGCACTTTGGTCAACGCTCCTGTTGTAATTAAATGTGCTATATAAATAATTAAACTATTAAACTATTAAACTATATTTTGCTGACTGAATGAAAGAATTACTAGCTTAGAGAGTGGTAAGGTGAGGATCCTCATGTCAGAGTGTACCTCTGCCACACAGTCAACTAAACTATGACAAAGACATCAGCACAACTGCTAATAAAACCTCTCTTACTTCAATGCAGAGCCGTGTCAGCACCTCATTGAAATTTACTGGTTTTATCAAACTCAGCAGAGATGTAGATTTTACCTTCTAAACAGCATCTTTAACATTTAGAAATTTACTTTTCTACTTAACTGTGAGCAAACATTTTGCCCCAGATGTCATTATCCTAATCTTATTTGAACCCTGGATATCAGTCCATTGCAATACTGTTTATAATTCTTTCGAAGCACCATAAGAGCAGCTGTATCCTTTGCCATTACTAATGGGTCTGAATAAGCAATAAACCTTGATTGTATTACAACACAACAGGCTCCTGGACACAAATATGTAAAAAGGCCTCCTGCATGGGAGAATCGATGACAGCTAAGCTAAAGTTCACTGTAACTTCAACTCTGCAACATTTGGCTCAAACCTGTTGAAATGTGGGCCGATTGGCAAAAGGACAACTATCCCTATCTATGTCTGCACCAACATACAGGCATAGATAGAGGACAAATATACATAGAGATACTAAATACTAAAAGGGAGAAGTCATTCACACTCAAGTAAAATGAGAAAATCAAGCCAAGCCTGCTGGCATGTAACAAGATCCAAAATAGCCAAAGTCCAAAACTAACCTCAAGGAGTTGGAGAACAACCTCAATGAGTCTCAAAGTAACTTCAAAGAGTCTCAGAACAACCTTAGTCTGAAAACAACCTCAAAGAGTCTCAAAGTAACATCAACATCAAATAGTGACAAAACAACACCTGAGACTCTCAATACAACCTTAAAGAGTTTTAAACTAATTTCAAGAAGCCTCTCAATGACCAAACAGAGATTTAAAAGTTTCACAAGACACAAAGACATAGGATCCATTCTCATCAGTTCTCCCATGTATGAGGGACTTTTACATATTTGTTTCCAGGGGCCTGTTTTCTTATTATACATCCGAGATTGATTGCATAATCAGGTCCATTACTAATCACAGAGGACACAGCTGTGCAAGAATTATTAACTGTATTACAATGTACTGAGATCCACGGTTCAAATAAGATTAAGATAATGACATCGGGGACCAAATGTTGCTCAGTGGTAAGTGTTAAAGTACATTTTGAAATATCAGGAATGTTATACAGCAAGTAAAGGCTGTGTCTGTGGTGAGTAAAGCCATGGAAACAGATGGGAAGTAGGAAACTATTCACTGCTTCATGATTAAAGGGAAAAAGCACTGGGTGTTGTTGTCATTATATACTTGAATAGTCATTCAGTAATACAGTACCTGTTGAAGCTCTTGTACTGATGTAGGTCTGGGTGTATCTGGATGGGTCCAGGCATGCAAGGCTTCATCGTGGCTTTCAGCTCCTCATTGTCCTTCATGGCCCGTTCCCATGGGGATATGTAGGTGCGTACATAGTCCTTCCTCTTCTTCTGCTTCTCCACCTCCTCATCCACAGTCTCCTTCACTACTGGGACATACAAGAACGGGGAGGAAAGAGGTGAGCACCACAGATATGACATGCATACTTTTAACAGAAGGAAGGCATCACAAATAGTGAAAAGAGAATTTCTGTGATCATACTTTCTTCCTTTGGCATCTCAGGCTTTGGAGGCACAGGGGGAGGGGACATAATCAGGTTCTGAAGGTTCTGCTGAAATATATTTAAAAATACAGAGGATATAATCTTATCAGATCACAAACATATATAGACAACACAAACACTTAGCGCCTCATATAGTCAAGTCAAGTCAAGTCAAGTTTATTTATAGAGCACATTTAAAAACAACCAAGGCTGACCAAAGTGCTGTACAGTAAATACAGAAGTCACCATGTTCTCGTTGGTCACAATGAACTTCTCGACTCTCTGCTGCCTCATCTTGAACATCTTGGACCCCTTGTTCGTGAGGAGGGAGAGCTCTTCGAGCATCACATCTTTGGGTGCCTTGATCTTGGTACCCAGATCGAACTCAGAGGCTTCAGGGTCTGTCTCATCGTCTGACAGTGTGCAGAGAGAAGATACCGTTACCCTAACTCACACATATACTATAAAAATACAGTGCTGCAGTGCTTCAAGGTGAATGTCAGGGACAAGTCATTCAAATTAATTGTATTTGTTATGGAAAAGTGGTGATAGTTTCTTATTTATTTGTTAAATATGTGCAATAAATTAAGTACAAAGAAATTTATAATACATTACATGAGAAAATTACGTGTAGTAATGTAATATTATTTTTGGATTACACTGCAATACCAGAAATGCCATTAAATCAAGCTACTGTGTCTTTCAGCGTAATACAATGTTGTAAGTGTAAAGCAACCAGTGATAATCAATGAAATTATGGCAATGCTGAAAGCAAAGACTCATCGAAATGTCAATATTTCAGCTCAAATGGATTTAATAGTGTTGCAATGGTTGGGTGAGTAAATAATGTTGCAGTGCAGGCTCTGGAGAGGCCAGTCCATGACTGATAGTCTTCCACTGTGTGTTTTTCTGTCCTGGTATGGTTTTGCTCTATTGGCAGTGTGTTTGGGATCGCTGGCATTTTCCAGATGGTTTTGCAATGTGGATCCAAATTTGACTTTACTTTTCTACCTTTATGACTTCATCTATTTTGACAAATTCTTCACTGGCCTGAATCCAGCACCAACCATAACGAAGCCTTCACCTTGTTTCACAGACAGATGTAGCATTTCTCTCCTGAACTCCTCCATACAAACTGACAATGTTTCACCATCCAATAGACCTGTTGTCACTGATTTTTCAGTAATTTCAACAACTGGCTCAGTGGAAGTGAAATACAACAAAGCTTAGCTCAAGACTTTGCTACTTTAAGATTGACATGTCGGTACATGTTTGTAGGCGGTTTCTCTGTCACATCCATCCCTTACCAGTAATATGCTTTTGTTTTTTCAAAGATTGAACTCGGGGTGGGCAAAATGCTCAAATCAAGCTCCAAGTGTTAATTTCACAAAGTCAAAACAACACAAGGCTTCAAAAAGTGATGTGTGATATCTTGGTGGTTATGTTCATACATATATTTATTCTTTTGTTGCAGGGAAGTTATAAATAAACATTTACATTTTTATCCACATTATTCTTAATTCATATTATTTTTTATTCTGAAAAGTATCCTATATCTTGTCAAAAGTGGTAGCTATCGTGTGGGAAAGATAAAATTGTTCAAAATGAGCCAAGGGTGGGAATGGCTGGATTAAATGAACATGTCTGCGTGCCAACAGAGAAGAGATCGCTTGCTCAACTTTGCAGAAATGCTGCAAATGAGAGGGAAGAGTCTGCTTCTGCCAGAATGAGTGTAAGAATGTCCAAAAAGTCTATCCTAAGCTAAGCTAACCACCTCCTGACGCCCTCATATTTAAAAAGTGGTCGTTTGGTCAAATACTTGGCAGTGAATAAGCATATTTCCAGAGATTGTTTTATTTTATTCAGTTTTATTAACATTTTCTTCATTTTCCCATTTGAATAAAATAAACCGAGCTATGATTTTTCACCTTACACAATTTTTAGTCATTAACATTGTGGATTCAGAGGTTTGTACACCCATGTCAGCGGTACAGTTATTCTCACTTAAACCCATTTGGGAAATTAAAAAGTCCATTTAAGTGCCTGATATTGAATGAAGGATGTACAGCACAAGTCTCAAAAGTGTAGGTTTTATTGTCAGGCTTCCAGATCATTGTTATAGTGATAAATTGGAGTAAAAACCTGCTGTGTGGTGTTAAAGGATGTGTTCGTGTGAAACTGTGGGAGTTCTAGGGGCTAAGAGGCCGTAGCAATATGGAAGAAAAGTGCACTGGGGGATTTCACTGCAGCTTTTGTGGTAGAACTGTTTATGGAGGGAAATCCTTATAACACACTGCCTCCCTCTTGCTTCTCCTCTCTCGGTGATGGAGAGATCTGATAGATTTTACTGCTCCACAGAGCTCCTCATTAAACACTCTTCTCATCCACTACATACACTCTGATATCACTCATAACACCTGGAGTTGAGCCATAAACCAATGCACATTCTCACTCACATACACACACACACAAACACAAGCACATCTATAAAGCAGGGAGTTGGCATTGCAATGCTGCAGAGAGCTGTTAGCAGTACCTCGTAAATCAGACTTGGGCAAGTAGGTGTGTAGATTGTGTGTGTGTGTGTGTGTGTGTGTGTGTGTGTGTGTGTGTGTGTG